AACAGACAAGTTGCTGTCCTTTTGTTCTTCAGTCTAGTTGTGGAGGATGTTGCTTCACTGGCCCAAGTTGGCACCATCATTGCGCTCTTCCTGGGGGATGTAGATCAGACGCCGGCTTCTGGGACGGCTGCACACAGCGGCTGCTGGCTGTTGGCTACACACGGTAGCCCATAGCAACCCACTGCAGCAGGGGCTGCAGCCTACGCTGTCGCCTGCCAACTCATGGCCACCCAGCTCCAGGATGAGCTGTTGTTCAGCATCTTAGCTGTAGAGGGCAGTGTCACTGGCCCTCATATGTGGGATCCGAACCGGGGCCCTCTGGCGTCCCAAGCCATCTCATAATCAACGCACCACTCGGCCAGCCCTCAAATTAATTTTTGTGTCTTCAATACCTTCCACCAATTCCTATAGTTTGCAGTCTACAAATATTTCACCTCTTTTGTTAAATTTATTGCTAAGTATTATATATATGTATATATATAATTAATTTTTTGATGCTACTGTAAGGCAGATTATTTTGTTTATAATATATTTTATTACATATTATATATAGTTGCATCTATGTATATATAATAAATTTTTTTATGCTAATATAAGTGGGATTATTTTTTTTGTAATATATTTTATTATATATTATATATATATATATACATATATCTTGTTGCATCTAGAAATGCAACTGATTTTTTATGTATATTTTATATCCTTCAACTTTACTGAGTTCATTTATCTAATAGCTTTATTTATTAAAGTAAAATTGGATTATTTGTATGTTTCTTTCTTCATCCTGATTTCTTCTTTTTTTGTTTCTTTCTCACTCATTAGCAATTATTCCAAATTGGAAAATTCCTTAGGGAGAAAAAAAATTCAGTTTCTCTTTTCTCTGGCTCTTTTGGGCAATGGCTGTCATTTATGAAGCAGTATCTTTTGTGAAATGAGTTGGTGCTGGGAAGTTAAGGTACAGATGCCCTTAGGTATCGATTTTGTGATACATTTAAGTTTTTCTTTCTAAAATTTTCGTGAGATTGACATGATGTTTCTATTTTATAGGTAAAAATCTCCAAAGAAAATGTGAAGCAATTACATCTCGTAGAACAGATGCCAAGGTGATTTATTGCCTCATCATTATTGGGGTCCTAGTTGCAATTGTGATTACACTTCCTATTGCTTTGGCAGGTAAGTTACTTGTTCTTCAAACTTTACAATGTTCATTCTATCTATCTATCTATCTATCTATCTATCTATCTATCTATCTATCTAATAGATATTTATTGAGTTCCATTATGTACCAGGCACTGTATGAAGTGGTTGAGGTATATCAGATGAACATACTGAAAAACTGATCTCAGGATAACAAGTAGAAAAATAGATAAAAGAGTTTAGAAAATTTATGTATTATAATTCTTTGTGATTGTCCAACTTTTAGTGAGAGAGCCAATGCCGGTCTTCAAGTGCCCTGTGTATACTGCCTGCCCAGAAAGATGGATTGGGTTGGGAAGAAAGTGTTTTTATTTTTCTGAAGACATAAGGAATTGGACATACAGCCAGGCTTTCTGTGTCTCTTTAAAAGCTGATCTTGCTCGGATTGAAACTCTGGAGGAACTGGTAAGACCTGTTTTTGGATCATACTCTTTACTGAATACCTGGCTACCTGAGAAGCGTAGGCTGCATAGGGTTAAAGCAGAAAGGTGAGGAAGGACCCTATTCCAGGCTGACTTGGGGGCATGGGATGCAATGTGAGTGCCTAATATTTGTTGGAGCTGTATTCTCTGTCTGGAACCCTTGGAAACATGTTACATACATTCTCTCATCTGATCCCCATAGTTAACCTGAAAGATTAGATGTATTGTTCTCATTGTAGAAAGAAATAAGGTAATCATATTACACTTATCATCCAAGTTGGGCCTTTTCGGGCAATGCAAGTGACAATATTACCACTATGCTAAAACAACAGGCATAACCTGGGACTATTCCAGTAAAACTGGAAGGTATGGTCACTTTAAGTAAAGTAATTTAGGGTCAGAGACATTGAGTCACTGAATCCGAGAAGTGGGGAATAGCCTCACTCCAAAGTCTAAGCTTCCAAATCGTACCAGGGTGCCACCCCCAAAGAGAAGGCTGTAGGGAAGAGAGGCTCAAGAGTAATATGAGAGAAAGAGACACACGTTTTCACTTTCTGTGTTTTATAACAGAAATTCCTAAAAAGATACAAAGGCCCTTCTGACCATTGGATTGGCCTTAGCAGAGAATCATCGCATCACATTTGGAAATGGACAGACAACACCGAATATAATGCCACGTACGTTTTGAGACTTCTTTTCCATCTACTGTGTTTCTGTGTGGTTATGTGTGTGAATTGTGTTTATGAGCCAATACATTTAATATCACGGCATGCTTACTGCACTATGAGGTAAGAAGTTTAAATCCTTTTATGCATTTCCGTTCATCAGCTGTCCCTTTGGAAAACGTATTGTGGTTTGAGTTGAAATCTTTTCCATGATGATGGCATTTGACATAACTCTTGCACTTTCATCCAATGATTTAAACTTTGCTAAAATCCCTATTTAGAATGTAGAGAGAATAGCTGTTGCATAGCAGGGGGTCTAAAATGCTAGAAAGCCATTGAAGAATTGATACCCACAAGATTCTTAAGTCCACTCTTCCAGCTGCTACATCCATTCATAAAAGGAAGGTCTCCAGTGAACCTATGGGAATCTCTCCTAAAGTTTTATCACCAGAAGGAATTTAGTGCCAGTTCCTTGAATTGTGTACATTTCAAAGGGGGTATTTTAAATGTAACCATTACATTGGAGCAAATAAAATATAGGGGCTCAATCATTTCCATCCACCAAATCTAAGCCCTTTTAGGTATTTACTCATAAGAAGGTTATTTATTATTTCTTTTAAAATGGTTTTTAAACTTTGTTGGGGAACAGTGCATTCTTTCAGAACCCATCAAAAATCCTATCCTGTTCATGTGGATATTTTGCCCTCTTCCCATGAATCACAAATGTTCTTAATGACATCTAGAATGGTGAATCCTTTCCAGAAAGCTTTTAATTTACTTTGCCCATATTGATCAGAGGAATCACTATCTATGGTAGCTATAGACTTTTGAAGTGTATTTCTTAAATAATAAGACTTAAAAGTCAAAATTACTCCTTGATTCATAGGCTGAAGAATGGCTTTTGTGGTAGCGGGAACAAAAACAACATTCATCTCCTCGTACATCTGCATCAGAGCTCTTGAGTGACCAGGTGCATTGCCAATGAGCAGTATATTTTGAAAGGAATCTTTTTTTATGAGCAAATGTCTCAACAGAGGGTTGTAAACAGATGTGCTGTCATCCAGGCTTTGTTGTTCCATTTATAGAGCACAGGCAGACTATATTTAGCATAATTCTTAAGGGCCCTAGGAGTTTTGGAATGGTAAATGAGTATTGGCTCCAACTTAAAGTTACCAGCTGCATTAGGCCCTAACAAGAGAACCAGCCTGTCCTTTGAAGCTTTGAAACCAGGTATCAAATATTCTCTCTAGCTATGAAAATCCTGGATGGCATCTTCTTCCAATATAAGACGATTCATCTGCATGGGAAATCTGTTGTTTAGTGTTGCCACCTTCATTCATTATCTCAGCTAGATCTTCTGGATAACCCGAGGCAGCTTCTCCAGCAGCATTTGCTGCTTCTGCTTGCGCTTGTATCTTATGGAAACGGCTTCTTTCTTTAAACCTCATGAACCAAGCTCTACTAGCATCAAACTTTTCTTCTTCAGCTTGCTCACCTCTCTCAGTCTTCATAGACTTGACCAGAATTAGGGTTTTTGTCTAGATTAGGCTTTGGTTTAAGGGAATGTTGTGGCTCAACCTTGATCTTCTATTCAGACCACTAAAATTTTCTCCATATCAGCAGTTAGGCTGTTTTGCATTCTTATCATTGGTTTGTCCACTGAGTAGTATTTTGATTTCCTTCAAGAACTTTTCTTTTGCAATCATAACTTGGCTAACTGTTTGCCACAGGAAGCCTAGCTTTTGGCTTATCTAGGCTTTTGGTGTGCTTTCCTCACTAAGCTTAATCATTTCTAGATTTTGACTTAAATTGAGAGATGTATGTCCCTTACTTTACTTGACAATGTAGAGGCCATTGTAGGGTTTTTTTTTTTTTTTTAGCTGAGCCATCCTGCTACCTGTTGGCAGCTCAGTGACTGCTCAGCTCGGGCTGGACTCGAACCGCTGTTGCTCAGAGCTCA